TAGGGAGATATCGCCTGTTTATTATTAAACTCGAATTTTAGATGAATCAACATTATTTTTCTGGTGATTGATATCCAGATGGAACAAGAACGGTAATGAATCCATCGAGAAAACGCCTCTTTTTCAAACTTTCTTCTCTTTTTCATGCTTAGTATATCATCGTATATTGCTGATTCTGATTTACCAACGGGTATGATGCATTTCTCATTGGTTGAATTGACAAGTCGACCTGCTCTCATGTGTGATTTAGGTCTCAAACAGAAAAATGTGATTATTCAACGAGATCGTTTTGGATATGGTTTAACAGTATCTGGTGATAATCCTGTTTATGTATTAAGTGTACGTGAAGGTGGTGCTGCTCATCGAGCGGGAGTCAATATAAATGATCAGATAATTAAGGTAAGACATTTATTTGGTGCTATCTAATCTTCAGAAGATTTATTTACAGAAGTAAAAAAGAAAACGTTAAATTCGATAGAAAGTGTCTTTGGATATTTGATAGAAATCTTGAGTATTTTCATAATAAGGTTCAGTCGACGATAGTAAATCTAATGTTGTCTTGTATCGGATGGTTATGTGTTCAGGAATGTAGCGAATCTCGGAAATGAACTTTTCATTTCGCTTCTTTGGAAAGATGTAGAGTGTCGACGAATAGAAGTCTAATTTTAATCGATTATCGTATTCAATACTATGAAATAAGGTTGTTAGATGTTCATTTGTACAGAATTGACCTGCGTTATCTGAACGAACATAAACACCTTGGTCTAATTTGATGTACTCGCGTGAACGTAGATCGGTATGATCATCTATGTAGGAATAGAAATAGCGTTCGTATGAGACGGGTTGTGGAATGATTTCAACTGTTTCTTGAACTTGAGCTTGTCCGTGATGAAAAGGGTATAATTCATTGAATAAGTTCATTTTGCGTAAATCTCTAATCACTGGTGGTGGACGTTTAAGAATTGACTTGGTTAACGGAGGATTAAGCGGAATATTGGCTTGTAAGACATTCAACGTTGAATATTGGATTGGAGGTGGAGGTGCACGAGTCGTTTTTGAACTCGTTCGAACAGGTTCACCTGTCACTATTTTCATTGTTAATGATTGATGGTTATGATATGAATAGAATCATGTTCGACAACAAATATTTGTAATGTTAATGCTTACTTCGATAAAAAAAAGAACTGAATGTATCGTTCAATTGGATTGTTTATGATGTGTTAAGTATCTATTGAATCGATTTGATCTCTTCCCTCTAGAAATAGACGAACAAGATCGAGATATTCAAAGTGAATGAACTCGTACTTGTCTTTTTTCTATTCGTTTGCTTAGTCTTTCATAAGTATATGAGGCAAAGTTAAGTGGCTGATGTTTCGCTTTATATTCTCACTAAAGATTCTTTTTTTTTCAATGAATTCTTTTCGTTTTTTATTCGGCCTACTATTCTCTTCACCTAGCACCTTTCCTTTTCATTTCTTCTTCTTCTTTATTTCTACTCTATTCTTCACTTTCAATAAACTATTATCGCACCTACTAGTGCCAACACCGACATTTTATGGTTGGCTTCCATTGATTTATTATATCTATCATTGCATCACATATATTCTATCATCGTGAATATGAAAAGTAACTTAACCACCATCACAATCATCATCATAATAAAGAGTAGTCTGTTGTTCTTATCTCTCTGCGAACTTTCGTGGTTTGAAATACGAAAACGATTGTCTCTAATAAATTCTATGGTAAAATATACGCGTTGTGTTTGTTCGTTCTTTCGTATTTTGATCGAATTGTAAAAAAATATATGAATGGTATGCCTTGATATAAAAAAAAATGTTAATCGTTTTGCGTATATGAAATGCATAACAATACTCTCGAATGCTCGTGTCCGCGTTCTTCTTTAGCCTAGCCTTGATGATTGAACATAAAACGATATCATTTGTACACCTGTTACATATGGAATAAATTGCACACCTGTTATCTATTGTTTGATTACGTCATTGAATTTGATTGATTATTTCTCGTTCGAATCGGACTCGATTTGAGAAACGAAGACAATATGGGGTCAATATGTCTTGACATTGAAGTGTTCAAGTCGTATTTCGCATCAGTTCGGTGACTTTCAAGTGATGCACTCAGTGATAAACGAAGACAAGTGTTTTATTATATAAAAAGATCGAACTTTAGTCTGTTGACATAGAAAATCCAATTGTAATCATTATTAAATATCACTGACACATCTTTTTCGTTCAATGACGATCTTTCTTATCAACGACGACACTTGAATCTGGGAGAAATGATAATCTAGTATGCAAACAATAGTAATTTTCGAGGTCATATATCAAAGTTATACTCGACGTGTCGAACAACGAACGAACATATCAATCGGATATGATTGAATGTTGAATTATCTTTCGTTTTTTTTTATATGCTTTATCGATCAAAGACACTGTTATCATTTTGTTGATAATTAACATACTATCTTAAGTTGAAAGAGGAGATATTTAATTTGAATTTGGTATGGAAATTAAATAAGACCGAAAAGTACCCGAATTCCGCGTTTTTTTCTTTTTTTTTATTAGAAACTCTTGAGTAGAAATACTTGTCAAGTGGTTGAGGCAGTCCGTTAATGAAAACCTTGCATAATTATGTTTGATTTTTATTTTTCAGGTCAACGGCACGCGCGTTACACATTGTACTCATGTTGACGTAGTCAATTTAATCAAATGTAAGTTTGACTTTTCTTTCTTGTGCATCGTATCGATGAGAAAAGGAGCCGAATGTGTTTAGTTCGAAGATACGGAGGGGAAGTCAATATGTCCGATACGGACGTTTAAGTCTTGTCAAAGGTCTTTTCCTCTCTCTCTCTCTTTCCCTTTTTTCTCATCTGCTCAGTTTGAACGCGAAAGTAAGAAGCATAGAAAGGAAAGGATGCGTAAATGTGTGAAAGATTATCATCAATCGTCATCGTTTATTCTTCGAGTCGATGATGTTGCATCTCTCTCGTTTGTCTCTTCGCTATCGATTGTTGTCAACGTTGCCGTTGTCGTCTTGACTTGATGATGATGATGATGATGATGATGATGCAACAAAAGGTTCGATGCTGGTCGTTTACCTCTCCTGTGGAAAGCGTTTATCCAAGGCCCAATATCAACTCATGGTTGTTCGAGTAAACAGAAGAAAAACAAAACATAGATGAAGAATCTACATGCTTGATTGAACGGAAAATCGCTCTTTATGGATTTTGTTGATAGCCGGTGGTCGATCAATGTTTCGTCAAGTAATTTCATAATGTGTCGACAACATCGGCTCGTCTACAAACATATGCCTTGTTTATTTTTCCCATCGATTCTGATTGATCAGACGTTGTCGTTGGCATCGTCGTCGACCAGACAAAGATATATCGACAACGATCAGCTTGATAATCTGTTCTTTCTAACCTCTTTGCACGAATAACTGCCGTTGTTATTTGTTTGTTTTTTCCTCCTCTGTCATATCTTTCTCGTTTTTTCTTCTCTCTCTCTCTCTGTCTCTTTATTTTCATCTTGTTTTCTGTCATATCTCAAATCAGTCATGTCAACAAGATTTCTTTCTCTTGCCATGCGTTGACCGCTTCCATCAGTAGCGTTTCATCTAGTATTTTTTGACCAGCACAGTTTCTTTCAACACAACTGCCTCTCAACAGACGGATGGATATGCGTATATAATCGCTTATCGTTGCTATTTTCTTTTAGTTCGAAAGAAAATCAGAAGAAATCATATATACTATGACAACTAATAGTACTATTCGCAACTGATAGTTGCCTTTTGATGATTCGACTTCGGACTAATTTACAATGATCGATGAGATCTTTAAAAGAGAAAAAGTCTGACAGAATGATACAGAAAAGAAGATAATATATCGTATCGTACTGAAAAACATCTCAGAAAGAAAGACATCTAACAACGAAGATGAAAAAAGACATTCGTCTTTGTATGTTGTCGATTAAGCTCGTCAGTTTTCTCAACTGGGTGATGTTTATCTGTAGTCATCTGTAGGAATCAACGTCTAATCTTCAAGAAAAACATCGAATGGAGAAATCGAACTAGCAGAACAAGTTCAGATGACTGTATTTTCTTGCTTGTTAATTATTTCCATATTTTTCTTTTGTCGTCAAGTTGCTGTTCTTCTAGTTCTTCTTCTTCTTCATCATCTAATAATCATCATCGTGTAGTTTTTTGTACTCAAAACAAATCTTATCAGAAAAGAAAAAGAAAAGCAAAAAAAACGAAGAAAGACTGGTAAAATGCTTGAGTTTTCTGTACATATACATAATCAACGGTTCGCATAACTTAATCTGAGAGGTTCTTCTTTCTTTGCTTCTCTCCTTCTCCCTTTTCTTTCCCTATGTCTTAGACATATAGATATATGTCTAGATATCGAATAGAAATAAGGGACCGGTGCCATCTCTCTTTCTCTCTTGGATTTTCTTCTTCTCGTGTATCATCGTTATTACGGACGATTTCTTTTGTTACGCGCTTGTGCGTTGTAGAAATTGCACTGAGGCCATATGCTAAGGCGATGTTGTTGTGTATTGAAGATTAACAAGCTCTCATTCAGAATATTAAACACATATATCTATTCATTGGTAGTAGTGACAATCGGTTACCTTCGAGCAGGATGATGGCATAATGTTGAATATCACTTTTTTTCTTCGTTTTTTTTTTCATTTCTCTGTTCTGTCCATGTACATATACGTTTTTCTCTTCTTCTTCTTCTTCTTTCATTCTCATACTCAATCTTCTCGTTTCGTATCGTCGAGGTACAATGTCTCGCTCATTTCTTTCTTCGTTATGTATATAGCGAAGCAATTTGATTGAAAAAATCATTTGCTTCATGATCAATCTACTCCCTCGTGTGTGATGTCATGAAGAGTATTGATCGAATCGTACACCTACAGACACGTTTTAGATTTTTCGACAATCAATATATGAGGTGATAATCTGATAAAAAAACGAAAATGGCCACCGCCATCTCGGTGCGAATACCTGCTGGTAAATTAGGCACAGTTCGTGTGGATCGAACTGTCGATATTTATCCAGCTTCCGTTAATAACGATGGAAATGATTTCAATCCAAATACCTCATCGCCGTCATCATGTGTTCCAACTATGGCATTACATCGCCAATTGACGAAGACAGCTGTAACAGCAAGTCCAACAACACTGATCATTGATCATAGTGAACAACTACAAGCGGAACACGACGAGGCACATAGTTATATTCCTGTTACCAAATGGTTCGATACATCTAATGGTAATAATAATAATAACAATAATAACGGTCATGATGATGAACAAGTATCTGATATCGCAGTTATCTATTCGGTAGTTCGAAATCCTCCAACACGAGGAGCATCGTCACCGAAAATTGTCGTTTCGCCTACATCATCGAATGTGAAAAGTAATACTCCACGTCCCTATGGAGCGAAAAACTATGCATTGGAAGCACCATTAACACCTGTCGTTACGCATACTTCAAAACAAGCGCAAATCAAGTCACTATCCTCAACTCGTACAAATACTGCTCCTACTCTCACTTCGACATCCGCGCCAACATCACCTGAATCCTGTTTAACGACGAATTTAATTCCAACTAATCCGCCATCTATACGTATACAATCATCGACTTCATTTACATCTCATGACCGACCATCAATACCATCTGTTGCTATAAAACCACGTCCATATTCTTTTCGAAGTGCCATTAATCCGCCTAATGAAACATCAACACTACAGAAGGCAAAGACGGTAACCGTCACAACACTTTCGACGAAATCGAATAGTACAGATAGTTCTCAATCGCTACGTTCACGTCGTTCATTTCGAGCTGCACCTCGGAATGTGATTGAACGACAACTATCGAATTTAACAGGACGTGTATCACAGTTACACGATTCATTTCTTGCTCGTCTATCAGATTTCACATCGAGTACGAGTAGTCGCCATCGAAATCGTTCATTAACATCGTTACATACGAATTCAGTTAACCCAACTAATCTTCCTGACACCGATTCACGTTCGACACAAAACTCTTCGACAGCACGTCATCAGCGACGTTCAGTTAAACCTCGACCGAAATCGGAAACCTATGAGGATCATCATCGTGTCAATGCAGGTAAAGCATCTCTTGCGTCATCATCATCATTACCACTATTATCGATGGATATTAGTTATTGTTGCACGAAATTTCTTTTCTCTTTTCGTTTACTTCTTCATACACAATTAGTTAAGAACGTAATCATATTTCGATTCGATTAATGTTATGAACAACGTGTGTGTAAAGAGAGATGACGCTGATGATACGTTTGAAATACATCGACGTGTCTATGATAGACAGACAGACATCTAAAGGCGAGAAAATGACATTTTAAGATGAAAAGAAACAAATGAGAATAGAATCTTTGTTATGGGCCAAAACAATAGATGAGATTATTGTTTGACCATGAAGATAAAACGATGATGAAGAAAAATGACATCAGCAGGATTGACTTGAACAAGGTTAGATTAATGAATACAGAGATGTCTTCGATTCACAGACAGAGAAAATCGATATTCAATTAGATTAATAGAAAATTAATTTAAAAAACAATATTTTCTTTTCTTTCCTATTCCGCATTTGTTTATTGATATATTTCGAACGCAAGAAAAAAAAATGTCGATTCTCATATTACAAATATTTCTCCTCAGCTCTAATTATATCCAACTAACGTTATTTTTCAGTTTTTTTTTCTTCCATCTTTCTGACGAGATATTCTTTCATTGAATATGCATGTGAGCGCGGCATTCAAAGCATGGCTTATGGCATTCCGATGTTATCCCAACATCCCATATCATCGTTTGGATGTTTGATGGATAACGTTTGTTGAATGTCTCGAAAAGAAAGGCGTTTTTTTCTTCTTACATTACATTCTCATCAATCCTTGTCAGATTTCTATCATATCAAATCCAATGGAAAATGAATTCGCTCTTCGAAATGACTAAAAGCTTGAAGTTTGCTTTTCCTAGCTTAATTTTTCTATCAACACAAAACGCCTTCGTCCTTGTCTGCATCATATTCTTTCAATCTATCAACAATATCCTGTCGTTGTATATTATTATGATTATGATTATTATTATTCTAACTTGTCGTGCGTTCGAGAGATGTATAAGCAAACGACGAAACTAATGACAATCAGAAGAGCTGTTTATAGTAGGGAAAAGAAGAAAGAAAGATAACAGAATGAATCCTATACATCTTTGCCCCCCTATATCACTGAAAGAGATACATGATCTGATTATTTTCTTGTCAAAGTTTGCTGAAAATCACTGTTTTCTTCATTTGAATTAGCGGGTTCATATGCTCAATTGACTCTTCTCGGTCAACCCAAACTAGCTTCAACATCCGCTCAAAAACTGACGCCAAGTGATAATCAAAATGGTCGCGTAGCGTTTCGAACAAATCCATCAACAGGTTCTATTCCGGAACGATCGAATAGTACGATTAGCACACAATCTTTGCAAGCAACGTTTGATAACAAAAAAGCGAAAGAAAGCTATGAACGAATTGCCAAACAACTTGAGGTAAGAGTTTCGCTGAAGGATTTGATGGTAATTTTCATGTTTTCGTTTTTCTTCAATGAAGAAATCAAAAGCAGATCTAGGAAGACAACGTACCAAAGGTCCAAATCACAATCCAACAAAAGTAGCATTTATTGAAAATCAAATTCGACAATTCGAACAACAATTAAGTGAAATCAAACGACCAGGAGAATTATCGGAGGTAAAACTTTTTCTCTCCTTTTCATTCGGTTCGAATTTGTCGATCTTTTTAGTCATCAATCGAAATTTCACCGGTCAAACCAAGTTTTAGTGTTGATAATCTCGGCAATCAACCTGATCTATCATCGTCCAATCGAACATCAACTGTAAGTTCATCGGCGACGATCACTCTTTTCTCTTCTTTCTCGAAAACTCGACTCCCGACTGACTAGTTCATCTCATTCTAATCCCTCACATCTTTTTCTACAGCAATCTGATACTCCCAGTGGTCACAAGAAACAGAATTCTTTACCTGAATCATCTGTTCTACAAGTTATGAATGTTGCTATTCCGACAGCACCAAATCCGACGACATCAGTTAGTTCATCATTGCAGAATATTAAACGTAAACTGCATTCTGGAAAGTCTGAGACTTATGATCTAGCAAAGGTAACGCAGATAGCTGAGTGACAAACTCGGAGCTATTTGATTAACTTTCTCTTCTCGAAATTCTGCTTTTCTCACATCGACATTCATTCGCCTGCTCTTTATTCACATATCTAATTGACTGAATGTTAAAGCTTTTCACTATCTATTCTTGTAGTGGTATATCATTGGTGAAGTAAGTTCATTGTTGTTATCATCATCTTTGGTTCCTCTTTCACTGTTTTGCTTTCTGTGAAGCACAAAACTTGATATTCAGTGGTTAAATCATCATTGCTTTTGTTTAGTATGGAGATCCATCTAATACAATTCTTCCAGCAGATGAAAAACATGCATTTCGGGTATGCTGAATCAATTTTTGCCTGAAATTTTTTCATTGTCCATGTGATTCTTCGTTTAGGATACACTCGATAATGATGATGAACTTACTGAAGTAAATTTTTCGATTTGAATGTTGAAAAGCGAAATATTTCTTCATGCTATTCTTTAGCTACCATCAAAAACATCTATATCATCCTTCGATGATATTCAACAGAATATCAATAATTCTAATTGGACACCATTAACTATTTTTCTTAGTTTTCTTTTCAATGATCCAAACAGTGATCCAACTCACATGGTAAATAAACTGATCTTCCAAATTTATTCATATTCTTGCTGTTTGTAGCTATTCTACTTTCTAACGGAAGAATTACGTGTAAAAAAAGCTGAGAATCGAAGCGAACTAATTCGATGGATATTTGAAATTCATTCCACATTCACTATGAATGGCAGCGTAAGTATTTCATTGACTTCTCTCCTTTTCTCTGTAGAAAATGAGTATCTCTTTTAGCCCTTGTACATTGGCCTTCCACAAGTACAAACAGATTCAATACATCGTCATTTAGAAACTCAACAACAAGATATTAATGAGGATATAAAATTAGTTTTTAATGATGCGAAAGATTTTGCACGATCAGTTATTATCGATAAACAATTACCTGAATTTAATCACAAACGAACACTAGGTAAACTGACTTTTCACGCCTAATTCTTCTTCTCATACTTGCTTGCAGGTCTTTATCGTGATGTTGATTTCTCTTCAAGTACAAAACAAACTCATTTCATCGAAGAAACACTTCGATCGAAGTTCGAATCGTATTACAAAGCAAATATTGATGATTGGAACAGTATTAAGAATTCGAAAGAGTAAATCGAAACGTTTTTGATCATCTCTCTTGTATTGTTGTTTGATTTTCATTCAGTCTGGCATTGTTATGTTCATTAGCGACATATTTAAAACGTTGTGATATTAAAAAATGTGGAAACATTCCATTGGAAAAAATTCCGAAGTTTCTCGATCGGGAACAAAAACGTCTATTATCGAAGTTACCGCGAGCAACAGTATCGAAACGAGTAAGTCTTTCTCGAAAACAAAATAAAACAAGTACATTTCGATTTCTATTAGATTAAAGATCATCAATTGAATGAACATCAATTCACCATTCAAGTTCTATGCAAAGTTTGTTCGAAACCATTGTGGGGAATCAACTATCAAGGTTATCTCTGTGGATGTAAGTCATTAGCAGATCGAAGATTCGAAAGTAGATCATTCTTTGATTAGATTGCCAACAAGCATTTCATCGTGAATGTGCATCGAATAGTGAAAAATGCTCAAAAGATCGAAAAACTCATAGTATTACTAATCCTGTTCTAATTAAACCACGAAAAACGCCGAAAAATCCCTCGAGTAAGTGTTTCTTATCTATCCATCCTTTCAAAAGTTTGTTCATCAATGAAAATAATCTATCTCCCTCGTCGCAGGATCATTTTCAGCGGACAGTTTAATTTCTCCTTTGTTCAGCATGCATTTTTCATGTATGCAACAAACTATTCAGCAACAAGTGATCTTACCACAACGGATTTTCGTTCGACGTTCTGTTTGTGGTTTTCTAAACGGTAGTTTGTAATATTCGTCTAGTCGTTGTCTATTCACGTCTCTTTCCGTTGTTCTGTGCGAAAAACGAAAGAATATGTTCACGCATTTGAAATCTATTTATTACAGGTCCAACAAGAGCTTCAAGTTTAAATGAAGGACGTGAAGGAAGTCTTCGTAAGTGCTCAAACTCGAATTTTATTAACTAGAGCTTTAATTGTTGTAGCCAATGATGTCTATGAAAATATGTCAGCAATCAACGAAAACAATGGTAAATTGATCGTTCTTCCAGAGTTTTCTTTATCATTTGCATCTCGTTCAGATCCATCCAATGCAAATTTATTATCTATCCAAGAACAGAATAAGAATTCAACGTAAGGATTTGTTATTCAAACAAACAAGATGAATACATATTGCTTGATGCTAGTAGCTTGGGACGACGTTTCAGCGACCGGCAAGCAACACCGAATCGACCGACGTCGAAACATCGTTCGAGCAGGTAAAGATCTTTAGAGATTTCCTTTAAATCTCAATATCAAATGAATTTGTTTCAGTGAAAGCGACGCGAGTGATCTTGAGGGGTATTGATTCATTTTCCTTTTTCACACATTCGCTTTCTTCCATTTTGCATGATAAGAACGACAATATAGTCGGAGAATAATTCGATTTAAATCAATTCATCATGTAGTTCTTTTTTATTAACACATGAATGAATGATTTTTTCGATCAGACCTGGTGCTTTCTATACGATTCTTTTGACCCGCAGGCATTCGGATACAAATTTTGCTTTGCCTCTCTTGAAGAATAATTTGCAAACTATCCTTCAATCTTTTTTAGCAATCCACAAATGGGAGGAAATACCATCGACGAGCTGCTCAGTCGTGGCGAAAGCGAAGTTATGCTTCAACAACAAGAATCCATCAATTTCAAGTAAATCTTCGTCAAATATTTGTCTCTCTTTCTCATTTCTGCATCACTTTCAGAGCCAATTCATTTGATCTACCGACAAGTCCTGAGCCATTGAATCAACAATCTACACCCACGGATGGTGATAGTGATCTTGAAGCTGATGTTAATACATTGCCAAATCTAAGCGATTTTATTCCTAACGATGTTCTTCAAGCACTCTATCAATCGCGTGAATGGAAATTACAAACAACGATTAATGAGTTAATCCATACGGAACGAACACATTTGAAAGGTTTAAAAATCATGAGAAAATGCTTTCGCGAGCCAATGGAGCGTTTTCCGGGAATGAGTCCAGTTGAACTTGATTGTATTTTTCGAAATCTTGATCAATTAATCAATTTACACAGTAAGGCACCAGAAAATTCTTCGAACAATCAATGAGTATTGTTCGACTTTTAGCTCAATTTAAATATGCACTACGACAACATCGTGATGAAGCAAAAGATCATGTTGTTCGTCATATTGGTGACTTAATCCTGAAATTTGTAAGTTAAATCTCTTCTCCCTTTCGAATAACGAATCCTTTCTTGTAGCTTGATGGCGAAAAGGGCGAACAATTTGCTGGCGCATGTGCGTATTTCATCGAAGATCAATCCCAAGCTTTGAAATTAATCAAAAAGAAAGAACAATCAGCTGATTTTGCTTTATTAATGCGAGTAAGTGAAGTACTATCTCATTGTTTTCGTGAATTATTCTTCATACGACTTGTTAAGACATGCGAATCCAATCCGTTATGTCGTCGATTAACTCTAAAAGATTATCTTCCATCAGTAATGACGCGTTTCACCAAATTGAAAATGTTATTCGAAGCAATGAAAAAATTTGTGTCCGACGATGAAGTTGAAAGTGAAAAACTGAGCAAATGTGTCGAATGTGCTGATAGTATTTTGAAACGAATGAACTATGCACGTTTGAAAAAAGAACAAGAAGCTTTACTGAAACAAATCAAAGCCAATCTGGAACTTCAAATTCCTAATGATGATAAATCCATCAATCTACAAAATCTCCAGGTAAAAATTTGTTCAACGAAAACTAAATCGATTCGATTCGATCACTTTATTTCATAGGATTGTCTCGAAGTTACAAACAATCGCTTGATCTATTCCGGTACGTTGAAATTATTACCGGATACAACAGCACAAAAAACCGAATTCGAATGTTGTCTTTTCACGGACATTTTCGTTTTCTTTCAAAAAATTCCCGTTCAACCATCCGAACAACGCGGTATCGAAGAAACATATCGTTATATTTTGAAAGAACATCAACGCGATGCAAACAGTGGACGACACACCCGACCACGTACGGCAGTACCTGGAACACGATTCACTGCAGCACAAAATTTCATTCTCACACCGATTATTCGATTGGAACATTTATTAATTAAGAAGAAAGCTTGCGGAGGTAAGAGTATTGATGAAGAATTAGTCAATTCAATAGGAAAATGTTCGATCTTCTCTAGGTGCTCGTTCTTTCTACGTCATTGATACAGATAAAAAACAATTGATCGAAGTCGAAGCTAATTCCAAAGATGATTTAGAAAAGTAATTGACTCTCTTCAATTGCTTGTTTTTCTATTTCGATTGTACCCTTGTAGATGGTTAGAATGGATCGAAAAAGCTCGAAAACGTTTTGACAAACCGAAATCGTCACTTTCAACGTCGAGTGAAAAGAATCCTAATTCATCAATCTCTTCTCCATCAGCCGTATCATCGACGTCTACAACAACAATAACACCCCGGTAATTATTTACTCGATTCTCATGGAAAACAGCCATTCAACCGATTTGTGCATTTCAGATCAGTAGTCATCGAAGAACAAACAAACATGCAGTTAGTTGATCCAAATCAAGTGAAAATAACTGATAAACAAACGTTAATTGAAGATACACCTGAATCGTTATGTAATGCAATCATTGAAAAAGACAAAGAATTAGAACGTTTATTACATGAAAAAGAAATGCTTCTGTCGCGTCTGCTCAATATTCCTCAAGATCAAATCAAAGATTCACCAGGAAATGTAAGAATCAATCGAATTTCTTTTCCTTCTTCATTTCATGTTCCTATCTGCAGATTGCTTTAACACATTCGACAAAACCAGCATCGTCGCTAGAAGCGATTACACATGCAGCGAGTTGTCGTATGTATTTCTCTGATTTTTATTCGCCAGTTCGTGGTTGTTATTTGTGTAGATAATCAATTGATGCAAACGATTAGCCAAACACAAAATCGAGCAGCACGAGAAAAGAAAGCATCGGCTGTGGAACTTCAGTCCTTGTGGACACCATTAACACAACTCGGCGAACAGTTGAGTTTCGCTTTGGTAAGTAAATACAAACAAATCATCGACGATTTCTTTGGTTTTTCTTCAGAAATTAACAAATCAGCGAAAACAAGATGCTCCGATTGCTCGAGATTACCGATCACATACTTCAGACACCCAAAATTCAGTTTTACGACGAAATAGTAGCAGTTCCAGTAGTACATTAACAATGACACCATCAATGCTTAGTAACATATCTCAACCGTACTCCGATCTGAAAGATTCAATGTCAATGTCGTCACTCCACTCATCGGAATCACTTGGCTCAGTCGCTATTCCAGCACAACATCAAACATACAATGATATGCCACATTTTCAAATACGATTACCTTTAGCTAACGAACAATTATCGTCAATAACCGATTTAGATGAAACAATGAAATCTGTTCCATCGACCAACAAACGTCAACAATTGCATATGGCTACCGAAGTTGTTGAACGGTATGATGAAGGTGTTTTCGACGATGGTGCTACCAGTCAAACTGAAGAAGATGAAAATAACAGTGTGGTGATTGCCGATAGTGACGATGAAGACGAAATAGAACATTTCGATTCTACTGACAGTATTATCGCTGCTGTTGAACATGCTCAACAATCGAATAATTACCTAATGCAAATGAATAATATCCAAACAAATTTAGATAATTCAAATACATCAACGGAAGCTCAAACTGTTAATATCGGTGAGATGAACCAATACAGTTCGGGTTTCATTTTCAGTTCGTTATGATTTAGACATGTTTGATGAGGAAGTCTATGACAATGTCAAATCCAATAATTCGTCAATAACAGATGATAATGACAATCACACTATACGAAATTCTGCCAGCAATGCGTGAAATGAATGATATTTTCTCCATGAAATTCTTTGGTGCTATCCTTATCCGCCATGAATTTTGTCTTCTAATTTCTTTTTTTTCAACATTCTATGCATACAGATGAAAATATTTCAATTTGATTGCGTTTATATATATATAGTTACACGTATATATATATACATCAATACATCATGTTGGCCTGTTTTTAATAGAGTTTTTTTAAAAACATAGAATTTTTTTCACTTTTCTATCACTCATGTCCACCGCAATGCGATCCAGATGAAAATTTGAATTTGTGCTATATCTCCTGCTTGTTATCAACTGGGAAAAAGCAAGTCGGGAGAATTGATTTGAAAAACCTCTGTTCGTTTTCTTTTTGTGTATTTCTGCGCGTTTATTTCTTCTTTTCTTCCTCACTTTCTTCTCTTTTTGTGTATAGTTTTTCTTTTGGTTTGGCAGTTCTGCGCATCATCTTCTCTTTGTCTACTCGCAACGAACCTTTTGTGCGGATTTTCGAGCTCTTTGTGCACATACGGTGTGTGAGAATGTTGATTATTTCGTTTTTACACTGTTCTCTTGTTCTTTTTACCAATGGCGGATTGATGAATGTGTTTTCTTTTCTCTTAAAGTATACATATATATTTTTTTTGCTTGTTGCTGCCTTCCATATTGTCATCAACAAAAAAATTAAGTCAATAAGTAGTGATTCTTCTTTTTTTTTCATTGACTTAATTTGTTGAATTGATTTATTATGAATACAGAGAACAAAACAGACAGGTTAAGTCGGCCTCATCTTTGCCCAATATCTGAAACGTTCGGGTCAGAATGAATGAGATTAATTGCGTTTTTATTCAATTGAAACTTTGCTGAGAAACACACAGAAAAAGAAGGGAGAAAGAAAAGCTCGATTGTTTCTATCGAACCATCGATTTTTGTTGATTACCATTTGTAAATATCGATGGAAGAGATTCTTGTTCGTCATCATAATTCAATTCGAAGTACGATGTGCGATTGGCGCTTGTTACTGTTGCAGCTGGGGCTTGTCTCCATGGGCCTTGTGCAGTTGCTGCATCAAATACATGCTGAAAGAGAAAATATAAAATCGAATGAAAGATGAAAATAAGATTCGAATTTACACGTCGATTTGTTTTCATTTGGGCTTGTCGGAACGGCATGCTGTCAAGATCGGTTAATAATAATTCCTTTTGCATACGTTCAAAGCGTTCAGCTGCATCATCGAGAACGAGATAATCGCTTTTGATTTTACTTGGTGATGCCAAATCACCAACATCACCGGTATTATTTTCGTTCACATAAGTCTCATTATACCATATATCAAATTCTACATAGGTTGATGTGTCTATTGTAAATAGGAGCCTTTCGTTTTTTACCTTGAAGAAGTCGATTTTGACATTGAGCAACCAAATTTTGACAATATGTTATTTCCGATTTGAGACTCTTCCATTGTTCGTAATCGGTACGATATGTACCTTTGAGATCTTGTAATTTCGAGATTAGTTCGTATTCTTCCTCGTCAATAATCGTTTCACCATTCTCATTGAGAAATTCACCTAGAATGAATAACAATGAAATTATAAAGCAAGAGATAGCAAATAGAAAACGTGCGTACCCATGGATAATCGTTCGTTTTTCTTCTGTTCTGCTCTACTTCGTGTTTGATCTAGTTCCGCTTTGGTTTGATTGATTCGTCGTGCAAATTCAGCAAATTGTTTCTTTTTCGTCGCAGTTATTTCCTTATTTTCCACGTAGATTCGATTCAAATTCGAACCCCGAGTTTGTTTGAACTCTTCAAATGCAGCCGATCGACCTGGTGGTGTACTAAAATACATTGAACACTCTCGATAGATATCAGCATTTGACTTGAACAGAAGTTACTCTTACTTTGGACGTTGATCTTTTCCATCAAGAGCTTCACTTGTTTCTTTCAGTTGTTCCTCGTCCGTTGTTGTGATGCGTGGTGCATTCAGACCAGTTGGTTTTACACCTGGAGGTGATGGAGATTTAGCCTTCGTACTGAAATAAAATGAAATGAAATCGAATGTATTTTCTGATAAGAACTTACTTATTCGCTTGGGCAACTGGAGGTTTTGCTGTAGTGCTATTTTGCTTTTTATTTCGTGCAGTTTTGAGAGAACCATCTTTAGCGCCTCGCTGATCTTTAGAAGAGACACCTGATGCAAAATTTTGCCCATCAAGATCGCCACCTAAACCGTTTGCATTGTTAGCACCTCGAGTGATACCAGAGATCTAAACAATCGTCGAGAGAGATTCATTTCACTTGTTCGAAACAAGCTTTTTGTCAAAAGAAGAAGCCTAGAGCAGATGGAAAGCCTACAGTGGCGAATATTTTCACCGATTGAATCAACGAACGATTTGCATGCTGCATTGAACTAATCAAAATAAATTCGACTCTGACATTCTCTGTTGATTTCATATAGAATAGCTAAAGCAATGAACTACTTACGAATACTGTCGAATCATCTTCCTAGAAGACAATTTTTATTTAAATATTCTCTTTCATCATATATCGATCGCATAGTTAAGGACAGAACAAATGTTTATTTACTTTATGACCGCTCTGTTGATCGTATCCTTGATTATCTGCAGGAGCATATCGTTCACGACACTTTTTTTCTGCATCTTTTTCCGTTATTCTTTAACAAAAAGACAAATGACCATTCGTACTCAAGGAGTTCCTAACTTACCGACAAATATTTCTCATCGTATTGAACACCGCTACGAAAATCCAAGCATACTCACAAAAGAATCATTTCTAGAAGGAAGCAAACCTTGTATTTGTCGAAGACTTTTCACTTCAATATCATCCAATGTTCCATCAATGAACCGACGACATTGATTTTCGATTTCATAGAGTTGTTGTTCCGATAAGGACTCATGAGCTGCATTAGTTCGTTGAACCATTGAATCATGCAAAGCTAATTCGTCCCGTAACAATTTATTTTCACGTTTATAATTTTCAATTGCTTTGATCGGATCGATCACTTCATTCACAGTTGGTTCAGCTGGAACGCACATCATTCGACTAGCAAAACGGAGTGTTGAGATCTATTCGAGACGAAAAGAGAACCGACAAAGATCAATCAGCGAAATAAATATCTCCTTTTACTGTTTCTTCAAGTTGTTGTAATTCAGGCCAAATATTCGCAATCATAACAGTGTTACATCGCCCACCGATACTGTCTTTCAATGCATGCGTTAATTTTGAACTTCGACAGTTGTGAGAATTGGGTTTTTTATCCGACAGATTGAGTACCGCTTGTTCAAGAAATGAGAGAGATTTATTAATAAATGTTGCTTCACGTTTTGTGACACCTTCCGACTAAACACATCGAATCGGAACTATTCGTCATGAAAATACGCGAAAAGAACTTACATTCGTTTTTGCTAATCGTTCACTGCCAGCTAAATCCACGAGATTTAATTTCGACATTGTATACTTTTCCGTCGATGAGACGGCCGATCGACGTTCGATTAGAATAGTAAATATACAATGAGAACGAGATGATTGTTTATTGAGAACGTGTTGACCTATAGCACGATTGGTTTCACCTTCGAATAATAAATTCAATGCTTCTTCTTCACTATTTGCAAGCCGATAGGATAATCCTTTCACATAAACTAAGCCCGAATCTTCACCAATAGATAATTGCTGTTGCTGTTGTTGATAATCCGATTGAGAATTCAAAGTTCGAAGTAAATCACACATTTGATCATTGTAAATCTCAAGATACGCAATGCTGAACAAAAGGAATCTTTCGAATGACAATCGTTCGTCCCATGGGAAAGCTCCTTACCGAATGGAATAAGAAAATTCTTGGCGCGTCGCAATTTCTTGGTAGAGATATTGCAAACTCCGAGGAATAATTCCACGGTTTTGATAACTTTCAGAAAAACCAGTCATTGTATGAGTTTTTCCAGCACCCGTTTGACCGTAACACATAATTGTACCTAGAATGAACTCTCTCAGCATCTCTTTCTTTGTGCAAATCAAATCAAGCGAACCGTTGTAGCCGTCTAATGTTTGATGAATGACATCCTTTGCAACAGCATTAAAGATATCTTCTTGATTCACGTTGTTAAAAACTCCGTCGAAATGAAATATCCAATCGTTAACTTTATTATCAATGATATTCTGTGACGGTGCTCGGTGCAAATTGACCGTCTGGAGAAAATCAATAATTTCATTCTAATTGTGTCTAATAAACAAGTACATGTGAACACTTACCTTATTATCTCGTCCGATCGCAAGTACTTCAGATGCAAAATGGTTTGTTGGACGAGTTCGGACATAAACTTTCACTTTATTCGATGCTCGTTGTGGCATATCGAAATGAATATTTATTTCTATAGAAACATAAAAAAATAGTAATCTTCTTTTCCTATTTATTCTCTTTTTTTGTCTGTTATTTAACGATGAATAAATCCGAGCGTAGAGGAGCCTTATCTACGATCAGACAAAGTCGATATCGTTCAAAATATCTTCATATGAATTATAATGGTAAAAACTCAATCGAACTACTGAATAATTTACCTCGCTATCGTCGAAATTATGTTCGCTTTCGACAAAGTTCGTCTCGGTCACGATCAAGAGAAAAAACCAAAATCGTTGCTTTACGTCCGACTATCGACTATCGCGCCAAACTAATCTTACTCATCCTACAAACTCTTTCTCTATTCCATCTATGCTCTGTCATCTATTGTCATCAAAAACATCCTTTCCTAGCCGCAAGATACACTCTCATCACGCTAATCCTTCTCAATTTTCTAACTTACAGTTGTGTTCAATACGATACGCAACAAGTTGAACATGGACGGTTGTTATTAGGTGAAAGTCCACTGTTATTTCTATTTTGGTACGGAGGACTTCTCGGTGGTGGATGGGCATTGTTAAACGAAAAACATAAACATCTACGTAGTCAAGCATTTCGATCTCGATTAAAACTGATTACATTCTTCAATGCTACCTGGCCTTTTCTTGT